TAAAAACCAATATGAACTACAATGTAAACACAAACAAAAGTCTACCACAGAAATTAGCTTTGCTTCAGCTGTCACACACAAGGCAGTCTTCACACATAACAACTGCATGTTCCATACAGAAATATCACTTACACTGATAACACGTATGTTTTGTTTTCCTGTCATTTCTTGTAGGGCACAGTTGACATCACTTGTTTTCCTGTTGGCCTAGTAGGTCTTTGTGATGCTGCACCTGCCTGTTCACCTGTCAGCTCACTAATGTGCTCCATAATTTTTTGGCATAGTTACCTGGGCAGAAACATCTTGCTTTTCCTCTGCTGTAAATGTTTTTTTCGTTTGTTTGTTTGTTTGTTTTCCGGTACCAGGAATCTAACTCACAACCTTGCACTTGCCAGGCAGGCGCTTTGCCGGTGAGCTAAATCCCCAGCCCCCTCTAAGAAAATTTTTCCATGATATTTTGCACTTGTTATTTTCTTTAAAAACTATCAAACAATTTATGCTACACATTTAGGATTGAGTAAAACACAACCATTGGCCAATGCTTTGTGTTTCAAGTGACATCACAGTTGCTGCATAACTCATCAACAATGTCTACTCCACCTTTAGTTTTGTTGTAGAAAGTTTCCATCTCAGGTTTCCATTTTGTTGAAGTTCCCCTCAACAAAATCAACATTTCCATAATAGTGAAATGTTGACATCAGCAGTACCAGTTTGTTTTTCTTGACCATATATGAGGCCAGTGTTACACCTTTCTGAAACCTAAGTTTGCACTGTACAGTTCTCTGGTTTGAAACTGTAACATTTCATTTGGATTTCAGCTTTGTTCCTGAGTACAGATCCTGCACTGGCCAACTTGTGCTCTTTTAGCAAATGTGATATCAGCTTGATACTGGTAAACCAGTTGTCAAATGTCACATCCCAGTTCGTTTAACAGATAGGACAAAATTCTGTTCACAACATCATTCAGTTTATTACAATATAAATAACAACCTGATGGCTAAGTTCAGGATAAATGTCTAGCTTGAAAGTATAGTAAGTCTTCATATCTACAAGTCTTCATATCTATCTTCATGTCTACATTTATCTATGGCATAAATTTTATGCCATATTTTGGCTCATCACTTTTCAATAATCTTTTATATTCCTGTGATCACCATGAGAAATCCCTGCTAAGTACACCAGACCTATGCTTTCAGTTCAGCTAATGAAGTGTTATAATAAATACAGTTTTGAATATGGCTATTGGTACATACAGAACGTTTTACTTGCATTTCAGCCTTTGTGTAATGCTACGATATCTTGTAGCATTTCATCTGTTACAATTTCCAACATTGAATGGCAGTGCTGGCATCCTGTCCAATAAGTTTTACCTCTGCCAAGACCCTCACCAGTTTTGCAGACCTAGTTCTCACACTAAATCATTTCACTTGGTTATGTGGCCATTTTGCAACATTTCAACTAGGCAAATATGTACTCACATTGCTGTTTACTTTGTCATCTGAGTCAAGGAGATCTGTACTTGCTGTGTCTGTATCATCAATTCCAGCTCCATTTCACTGTCACAGGAACTTTGGCTCACATGGCCAATGTCAAAGTCATCATCATCATCATCATCCACCTACACCACTCTTCTGTCATGAAAGCATACATTTTACCTTAATGGATCATCTTCATCACCCATGCATGAGTAATCTGACAATTCACTGTTGACCTCCTCCAGATCGTACAAATCTGGTTTTTCATGTGCCATTGTCCTGAATTGGACTACTTCTACCAGAAAAATCAAAAGAAAACTTTTTGAACAAATCCTGGTGGTATGGGTTTATTGGCCCCTCTGTGATGCTTGGATAAATATATGCAAAACCAGTTAGATAAAGCGTAAGGGGGGTAAAAGTCCATTTTGGACTTTTGCACACACCTTGCCTTTCATCATACCAAATGGGTAAACACATAGATTGTTTCCTGTATCCCTCAGGTGAAGGTACTGAGAGGCACAGCTGTATACTATTACAATAAAGTACAAACTTACGGTAGAAAAGTCAGGGATTGGTCCACTGGATCCAGTGTTACGTTCCTAGTTAATTCTTACACTTAAATCAAGGACCAGCTTCAATCAACACAGTTGCTCTTTTTTTTTTTTTTTTTTTGGCTTTTCTCTGGTACCAGGGACCGAACTCACGACCTTGCGCTTGCCAGGCAGGTGCTTTGCCGCTGAGCTAAATCCCCAGCCCCCACAGTTGCTCTTTTTAGCAACCCACTTGATCCTTATTACTGAGCCCATCACCTGCCCTCATATGATGATGACAGATGTCAAGCCATCTGAACCCTGGGATCAGAGACTTAGGTATCACAATGAGGTACAAAGGTTGCCTCCTAGGACTGAGTTGGACTCTTTGGGATAAAAGTGTGATCATTGCTCAGCTGTCATTTGTTATGGGAGGATTGAGGAATATACATAGTAGTGCTCTCCTTTCCTCATTTCAATGGGAAGCATTGCTTGCCAAAGCTTCTGCCAATTCCGATTTTGTAAGAATGGGAAGACATTGTCCTGGGGACTTGTCTGTCGCTGTCATTAGAAAACCCAGTTCCTTGGCTAGGGCCAATTTGGCCATTGCCTATCTAGGGGAGTCTTTGCTGGGCTTACACAGACAGTGCTTGCTATTCAAAGCACACAAGCTTGTGTTGGTTGGAAATGTTGTGGTACTTAAGGTCTTTCCTTTTAGAGTTTGAAGGCCCCTGGGCTTGCTTTCTAGTGTTTATATCCTCAGGAAACTTTCAGGAATACAGGATATTATAGAGAGCCCTTCCCGGTTTTCATCGCAGCCCAAGAAGTTTATATTTGCAATCCCATGAAAAGTTATTGGAATTTCTAGCCAGTTAATTCCAATCTACCACTTCCAGTGCAACCCATGGTGCGACTAAAGACACTAAGGCATATTTGTAGTTATGGAAAGCCAAGGGGTCCCAAGTCCAGCCATGATGGTTCTCTGGAACAAAGGCCTTGATCCCAGGCTGAACCCAAGTTTTATTCACTCATGAAGAAGGGAGCGGCTTGAGGATAAGTGACTGTGACAACCACGGGAAGTAGGTGAGTGCTATAAGCTGGGCTGGGTAGAAGGCCTGAAATCACCTCTGCAAATGCAGAGAGAAGGCTATGCAGAAAGAGTAATCTGCATAACACAATTGAGACAGTATCTAATGTTTCAGGGGGGTCGGTGCTTCAGCTCTGATGGGTAGTTTTGCAAGCCCCAGGAAATCATAGCCTCTCTTCCAAGGCTTGTTCCCAGCCAACAGCATGAAGCATTGGCTCACACATCCTGCCTCATCCTGGCTCATTCTTGGAAACGGTAAACACACCTGTCATCTTCAAAGACTGCCATCAGCACCTCATCTAGACCAATATGCATTGCTTAAAGCCAATTGAAGGGATAAGGAAAGGCTCCTAGCCAGCTCTTTACATATCAAGACATGGAAATAGGGTTAGGCTTAGCCAAAATGGAGGTAATTGCTCCTCTTTTAAGGAGAGTCGCTTAGGTGGTCCTCCATAGGATTTCTATTGGTCAATGTTTTGGTCTCCATAATTGGGATCACCCCCTCATGCCCATATAGGCACTCGTGCAGGGAGAACTGGTTTCTCATTGCAGCAAAGGTTTCAGGTGGGGCCTGGAGATGTGACTGGGCTGTGGTGTATTTCATCTCCTCTATGGATGCATGTAAGGAATGTCAGGTCTCCAAACTAGACCCCAACCCAGCTAGGAGAGAAAAACTCCCCTAGCAGATCCGCTATTTTTACCTGCAGGTGCATAGCATTAACAGGAGGCCAGCAGCTTCTCTATGCAGCTGCCCGCACAGCTCAACCTGCAGAAGTTGATTCCATGAAAAACCATAAGAGACATACTGTGTCTGCCAGCACCCTTCTGTATCCAACACTGCCCTATCGGCCAGCCCCAGACCCACTATTCAGAGACCCAAACTTTTGCACACACACACCCCGCCCCTCTTAGCAACAGCCCCCCCCCACCTAAACTCCCCTATAAAACATGCTCTTGCCCCTTGCTCAGGGCCAATGGTATTTTCGCCCTTGGCCCTGCTGCACCCGGTCTGCGGTAAATCCTTGCGCATTGCTTAAACTGTGCCTGTCTCGGTGGTCCCAACTGTGCCTCGCGTTATCCTAACAAAGAACCCACAGCTGAATGACCTATTGGGATTTGACCCTTACTGGCCAGAGCCCTAGGGTCTTCCCTTACGTGCAGGCTTGCCTAGGGTTCGGCAGCAATTGTATTGGGGCAGTCCTGGGTTCTCTTTGTCTCCTTGGTCTCTGGGACATTCAGGGCTGGTCCTCAAACGCTAGGACCTGTTTGTTCCAGGAGCACAAGAAGAAACGTAGCTCCCTTCATTTCCTGCTTCGGCTCTTGCCCTTGAATCTTTGGTGGGAATTCTCCACGCTCACTGCGCAGCCAGCAGGCGCATTCTCTATTTTTGGGACCTCGGTCCTTGTGCACTGGCCACAGCTCAGCCATCTTCAGAGCACTGAGGCTTGGCTGGCCTTGGCACAGCACTCACCCGAGCTCTTTCAGCCAAATTTGGACTTCCCTGCCTCTCTCTGCCCCACCAGTGCTTAGGCGGTTTGGTTTGGGTCTCTCTTCTCCTCTTGCCAGGCCCCCACAGCCAGCCCTCTAGGACCTCTGCGCCCACGCCCCTGCTTCCGCGCCTGCTCCCGCCGAGACTTGGCGCTCGGGGTCTGGCCTGGGCTCTTTCGGCCCCTAGCAGTCCCACTTTGGCCCCGGGGATTTACAGGACTATGAGCTGTGCTTATCTGGAAACGCGCTGTCTATGCTGGACACTTAAGAAGGACGAGAAAAAAAACAGTACAAAGTGCAAGGTGGCAGTCAAACAGAACACGAGCTTTGCAGCTCATGACGACTGGCACGTCCTAGCCAGCGCGCGGCCCCTGCGCTGACCATAGAGTTCTCGGGCCTCCCGGATGCCTAGAGAGCCGCCGGAAGTGCCTCGGGCTCGAGGCGCGCTGGCCGGCGCGGGGCGTCCACGGGCGTGGAGCTCAGGGGCCGCAGTGTCCTTGCTTGCACGCACCATCCGCGGGGAGCTTTCCCCGCGCGACCCCCCCAACCCACGAGGCGCAGTGAGTAGGCCGGCCCGCGCGAGGGGGCCGGGGGGCGGGGCGGGGGCGCCGGGCCTGAGTTTCCGCGGGGCGCCTGCCCGGGCCCGGTCTCCACGGCCAGGAGACGTGTGATGGTGTCGCCGAGCACGGGCGCTGCCCCGCCGGAGCTGTTTGAACGGTTTTCGCTTAGCAATTTGGAGTCCGGAGCTCAATAAGATTCCCATTTAATGTTTTACAAATATATTTTGCTTTTGGGGGGCCCAGTTGTCTATGCATACTCTCCATCTTTGCGCTTTTTATTGTCCTCGGAAAATGGTGGTTCTGCGCTTTTCTAATATGCTATGAAATGGTGGTGTGTTGGCTGGATGAATGTACGCGAGAAATATTTTCGAAAACGTCAGCGTCCTATAGGATTCAACCTTATTCAGAGTATTTTGCTCATTTATTACCGCAGCTTGCCAGTTAATTCTTTGGAAGAGGCCTCATTTCCAGTGTTCCAGTCAGTCTTGGGTAACTGTTTTCAGGCAGCTTTAAGACTGGCACCACCTCTAATAAAAATACATTTCTGTTGTTTGATTAGTGAGGCTAGGCATGCAGCAGTCTTGGTTTTAGCAGTGCACAGATTTTGAATTTCTCTTGCGGTTAACTGAAATGTAACTTAAAACACTCAGTTAATGCAGTTTGAGGTAACTACATAACATAGTATTTGCTTCAAATATTTTTCCTTGATCATTAAAGCTTAGGAGAGATCTGTCTTTTATTTTCAGTTCCCAGACATTTCTCAAATTAGACCTAGAGCCCAAAGGAAGAGTACATGCCTTCTACTTCTACCAAATCACAGTGCTGTTAAAAATTGAGTTGTACCTTCAGTAATTCACAGGATTATAACACTGAGACCCACAAGAACCTGTAAAGATTTCCTCAGATTCATAAATCGAGCCAGGCTTGTAATCCTAGCTCCTGGGAAGGTTGAGGCAGGAGGATTCAAGCTCAAGGCCAACCTGGGAAACTTAGCAAGACCCTATCAAGAGCTGGGGATGTTGTTCAGTAGTAGAGTACTCCTGGGTTTAATTCTCAGTACTGCAAAAAAAAATTTATAAATCTATGAACCTGATGTTCTTTAAAGGGGATATGTAAAAATCAGTCTTTATATACAGGTGCTTACCACCCTAATACCCACGTGTACACACAAAACCATTGGAGAGAAAAATACAGAAAGAACTAATTTCGCCTCATTTATAGATTGAAATTCTCAAAAATTTGCTGGTTGAAGAAAGAAGAGAAAATTTCTAAAAAAAGGAAGAGAAAAAATGGAATTAAAACAAGGATAGGCATATTTGGTGTAATATGAACACATGATAACTAGGTGACTTTCATCAGTGTTACTGTTGAGACTGATGCACCATCAATAACATAAAATTGCTGAGACATGCACACCTTACATTGAGATTTTTATAGTTGAGGATTGTAAGATGATAAGTTGTTCAGTAGATAAAAATGAACCTTGACTTTAAGGAAATTAATAAGGAAACAAAGTAAGTCTATACCTCTATAGCATCAAATTGTGAAACACAAAATCCCACCATCTTGCCTAAATTGATTGTTCCCCAGATCTCATTCTAACAAATCCAGCCATGTCTTTGAAAATTCATAATGTATTAGGCCCCTGATGTAAAGCCCCATATTTAACTTTGTCTGTTGCTTAGTTCTTCTATCTGTAATTTACCCCCTCCCACGTACATACTATTAAAGATAACTTTTCAAATTCTCTTCCTTTTCTGTACACATGCTCTAAATAGGAATTGTTTAATCTTCCTGGCATTCTTAGTGAGTCTCCAATCTGTAAACTGTCCTTAAATTATTTGGGTTTTTTATTGGTGGTGGTGGTGGCTTTGTTTTATTTCGTTGTTTGAAAACCTTGAGACCTTGGTTTAGGCTGGACTTAAACTCACTTATGTAGCCCAGGCTGGCTTTGAACTCACAATGATGCTCCTGCCTTTGCCTCCGAAGTGCTGTGATTACAGGTATGTACCACCACACCCGGCACTGTCCTGAAATTAAATGCACAATCTCATGCCGTTTCCTGGACAGAAGCTCTATATTTTCATTAGATTAAGGACTCCATGATCAACACTTTCTCCCATGTGAAAGATAATGAAGCACTTCTTTGAGGACTCATGTCGGGAACTGTATGTGCAAATTTTCTTCCTGAATCCTCTCTCAGCCTGCAGAGTGCCAGGATTACAGGTGTGCACCACTACACCCAGCCTAACTTCCCTAATTTAAAAGGGCCTCCAAGGAAAAGCTCACTGCCTCAAAGAAACATTTATAAGAAGGCCATGGCCATAGGCTGACATTTGTTACACTCTACACAATGCGTAAGTCTTGTATTTGGGCCATGTAGAAAATATTCGGACAAGAATGAGCACCTCAACCTGCAGGTTGGGGAATAACAGAGACTACCTCATGAAAAACAGTAATAATAAAGTTAGTGTTAGATCTGAATGCCTTAGATTAATCAGCTTTGATATCAGCTTTTGACACTTTGGGGGTTCTGTTTTTTATTGTCGGATGTTTAGTAGCATCCTTTGCCCTAAGGTACTGGGTACTAGCAGCCACCCTTTCTCCCAGTTGTAAAATCAAAAATGTTTCCAGACATTGCTGAAGGTCCCCGGGGTAGGTGGGTACAGTTACCTGTGGTAAGCACCACAGTCAGAAAAAGCAATGTGAATGAGTGTTTAAACACGTGTAGCTAGACAGAGCCTTACATTACAGGTTTGGTTCCCTATTACAAGACTTTAAAGGAGGTAACATATTACATATTTGTTAAGTCTCTCTGGTAGTGTATTAGCTTCTTAGGGCTGTTTAAACAAGAGTTTCACAAACTTGGGGGGCTTAATGCTGCAGAAATTTCTTCTTTGATAGTGAGGAAAGCTAGAAGCCTAAAATCAGGCATCATGAGGGCCATATTTTTGTAGTTTCTGTAGATTACCAGCCGTCTCTGACATTTCGTAGCTTGTAGCTGTGTAACTCCTCTGCTTCCATAGTCACACAGTTCTCTTTCATCTGTGTGTATCATGTGACTTTATTCTCCGTATTTCTGTAGCTCTTCTCTTAAAAATACACCAGTCATACTGGACTAAGGGGCTACCTTACTCCACTGCAATTTCATCTTAACTTGATTACATCTGCAAAGATCCTGTTGCCAGATAAGTTCAAATTTGCAAGGAGCAGAGGTTAGGATCTCTATCTTTTGGGGGAGCATAGACCAACCCTCAAAATGCAGCATTGCAGAACATGAATGGGAAAAAAAGTACATCCAAAGGTAAGAACATCAGTTACCACTACAGCCTTCGGCAGGAGACAATGTCTATACCAGGGATGAAAACCATAGTCCACCAAGATACAACCCCATGAAATTGAACTCTGAGCTTCAGGTTTAGTTTCTAACTCTCTTACACCCAATATAGCCTCCTAACCTATTTTATTCTATCAGTAAGATTAACCTCTACTTCTGAGGAATATAAGGTAGGAAGTCAAGACTCTTTTACATCTACTAATACATATTTTTGGGGAAAGCAGTATACATTTATGTAAAGAAGTAGAGAGAGGGAAATAACTTTCGATTGGAGTCATTAGGAAAGGATCCTAAAGAATTATTTTATCTTGCCCTTTAAAAATAGGTAATTTTCACGCTGATCAATGACTTAAATGAAGACAGGTATCAGTGTTCATGGAATGAAATGGAAAACTCAGTGCTTTTAAGATATTGCTAATATATCAATATTGTTAAGGAATTATCCCTAAACTGAGCTATAGATGTAACACAAATCCAACTGTGGGATTTTTTTTATAGGAATGAACAAGCTTATTCTAAAATACATATTCAAAGGGAACAGAAGTGGAAAAACCAAGAGTTTTAAATATAAACATAAGTTACAGGACTCAAAATACTTGGTTTCTTCTTCTTTTTTATTTTTTTTACTTTTTATTATATGTATTCATAGTACATAATGATCATATTCATCGTAGGCAGTTGGTACATGTACATAGCACATCTTAATTCTGTTTACTTCTCCGAAACTGCTTGATTTCAAGATTTGAAAATCCACAACAATCAAATCAGTGTTGTATCACTTTCTTTCTCTCCTATATCACAACCTAAAGGAACACAACAGAGATGCCAGGAATGAACCTCCATATACACAGTCATTTGATTTTTGACAGAGAGGCAAAGACAGTTTGGTGGGTAAAGGATAATTCTTTCTGGAACAATTTGGATCTGTATGTAAGGGGGAAAAAAGAACCTCTATTCATACCTCAAACTACAGAAAAATTCAAAATGATTTAAAACCTAAGACTATGAAAAATTGTAGAAGAAAATTTGGGCTAAGCAAACAATTCTTAGAAATGACATCAAAAGCAAACTCTTAACTGGTTTTAGACTTCAAAAAAATTACAAGCTTGTTTTTCAGAAGCCGCTGTTAAAAGAATGAAAGAAGAAAGTATTTGTAAATCACTTATCTCAAGGGTTTTTTCCAGGATATATAAAGAATTCTAAAAACTTTTTTAAAAACTCAAAAATAGGCAGCTGTCTCAATTAGATACTTCAGAGAAAATAAACAGATGCATATAAGCACATAAAAAGATGTTCAACATTATTAGTAGTAAGGAAAAACAAAACTGAGATACTGCCTATTAGGATATATACAATTTTTGAATAAGCAATGTCAGGTGCTGTCAGTATGGACAGCAGCTGCAGCTCTCATCTATTGGTTAGTGGAATGCAAAATGCTATAGCCACTTTAGAAAACAGTTTGACTTGTTTCTTATAAAGTTATCTGTATACTTTATGAGCCAGCAATTTTAGCTCTTGACTATTTAGTCAAGTTAAATGAAAACTGTTTTCATACATGTTCTTAGTGGCTGTAGTTAGAATCATCAACAAATGGAAACAACTCAGATATCCTGTGGAAATGGATAAACATCTACTTAGCACCTGTCTGTTTAGCATCTATCTGTTGTGTCAGTAGCATCTATCAGACTACTGATACAACATGATTAATATCAAATGTACTGAGTGGAAGATGCCAGACTCAAAAGAGTATATGCTAATTTTTATATAATAATCCAGAAGGCTGTTGGTATGTGGGATTAAATTTTTGCATTGCAGGTGTTGACAGGACATCCAGCTTCTTTGGAAATACGTCGCTCCGGAGAGTTTCATAAGGTCTGAATAGGATGGAAGATGGAACATCGGTAGGATGTTGAACATTAGGTGGACAAGAGCAAAGTTCTTGACAGTACTTTGAGCTACATTATACGGAAACTAGTCCCATGTGTTGTGAATTAGGGAAACGTTTATAGAGCTGAATGTTAAAGAACTGGTTTAGTATAGCTGGTGTAACACATGCTAAAAGGAGTTAAAGGAGCAGGGCTGAGGACCAATTTAAGTTGAACACAGACTTTAAGATAGGTCCTGTCTTTAAGATTTCTTGACTTTATCTATCTTCCATATCCCTAAACAGAGAAAGCAGAAGGCGGGGTTTATTCTCTGTTTGGATTGTCCATGGCAAAAGATTAAGGAAGTAAGGAGTTACTTCGGGAATAGTGACAATCATGGAATAGCTGAACCACAGTCTATAGGGAATGAGGAGCTTCCTAAGTCACTGACATTTGACTTGCCTTAACAGTACGTGTTATTTTCTCTTTTCAAAGAAATATCTTTGTGGAATGCAGAAGGTTCTTTTAAGAGGGGAAAGAAAATAGTGAAAACAAGCCTCCTGAGTTTCTCTGGCCCTAAATGGCAGCAGAATTAAGAAAGCCTTCTTCAGCATCTTCTCCACAAGACCAGGCTGCTGAAGAGGACCTTGTCATCATCAAGGTAGAGGAGGATCATGGGTGGGAACAGGAATCTAACCTGCATGAAAGTAACTGTCCCGGCCAAGAACTCTTCCGCCTACGCTTCAGGCAGCTGTGCTACCAGGAGACGCTGGGACCTCGAGAAGCCCTGATCCAACTCCGGGCACTTTGCCACCAGTGGCTGAGACCAGATTTGAACAGCAAGGAGCAGATCCTGGAGCTGCTGGTGCTGGAACAGTTCCTGACCATCTTGCCTGAGGAGCTGCAGACCCTGGTGAAGGAGCATCAGTTAGAGAACGGAGAGGAGGTGGTGACCCTGTTGGAGGATTTGGAGAGGCAGATTGACATCCTAGGACAGCCAGTGAGTAGAAGGAGCAATGCTGATTGTAGGTGACCTGGCAGCTGGGCAGAGGGATATTGGCCTCCTGTGGGAGAGTAAATGCAGGCACTGGTGTCCATTGCATAAAAATGAAGAGTTACCGTGCAGTATGTTCCATATTTGTAGATTCCTTTGAACTTCTGTAAAGGATATCATTCATTTTTTTAATCATTATATCCCTATAACTATATCGTTCCTATTTGCCAGGTGGCAACCTGATACATGCAGAGCTTAATTACCTTTTCAGGGGTACCCCAAAAATCAAAAGTGGATCTGAGACTGGAACTGAGTCTCCCTAGATCAGTGATGGCAAACCTTCTAGGGCTTTCAATGATAACAGCCCCTGCCTATGGCACATGTTCTGTATAGGTTTGCCACCACTGCCCTACATCCTTACCGAGGGTTTTCACTATCCTATAGCCCTGTTTTAAGTCTCTGTTTATCTTTTTTCCCCCCTGTGGCTCCCAAGCACAAAATATTAGTGTTTCTTGTACTAGGAAGGACACTGGCAGAAATTTTTTTCTTTTGTCCTGAGCAGAAATGATGCCTTTCCTTCTGTGGTCACCAAAATGTGTATGTCCTTTGCTGTCCCTTGGAGTAAGTAAGACTGAATCTATTACTTCCTTTCCCAAGTGTGGGCCCCTGTAGTTGGGCCATGGGTCTTACATTGCTCACTTCATTGCTGAAAGAAATTCCTGGTAAGCCAGCAGCCCCATTGTTTCTAGGTCTCAGCTCGTGCACGTGGACATCGGGTACTCTGGGAGGTGACACCTTCAGAACCTGCAGCAGAGTCTCCGTGTGCTCCACTCCCACCTGTGGTGGCCCTGTGTACATCTCTAGTGCTCCAAGGGCCTCAAGAGAGAGGTGAGGAGCCCGAGTTCATTTATAAGGATGAAAAAGTAGAAAGAAAAGCAGCACAGTTTGGGATGCCTGTCTAGTTCCTAACTAGAAAAGATGAGTCAAGTTTATGTTCATACTTTTCCCATTGTCCCAGTAATGTTTTCTCTGTTCCAGAGCACAGACCAAGATCATAATTTTCAATTCATTGTAGTACTCCTTTATCTTGCCATAGTTCCTCAGTCTTGGTTTTCTTTTCAAGATCTTAACACTTTTGATGAATACAGGTTATGTTGCAGAATGGCTATAATTTGAGTTTCCTTCGTATTTTCTCACATTTAGACTCACACTGCATATATTTAGCACAGTGCTCAGAGGTATATTGTGCTCTTCATAGAGGTACAAGATAAGAAATTTGTCTTGTTAATGGCGATATTATCTTTAACGAATTGGCTGAGGTTGTTCTTGCTATTAATCCCTTATTTTTTCATTTGTAATTAATAAATTGTGGGGAGGTGTTCTTGAGTCTATGTAAATAGCCTAGTCCCCATTAAACTTCTGTTGCTAAAACACTAGTTTCAATATTCGTTAGTGGTTCTTGACTGAGTCCATGATTACTAAGCCAGTTACAAGACAGTGATGTTCTAATTCTGTCATTCTTTGTACAGCTATCTGTTGTTTGTTGTAAGAGAACGTATTCTCTCCCTTTTATTAATATTCTTTTCTTTATCATTATGGATTTAAGTTTTGTTTCTCCCATAGATATTTTATTACTGTCTTCATTTTGATGCTTAAATCATCTCATGTTTGGACAGAAGAAATCCCTTACATCAGGCTTCTGTGTCCTTTTGACATTTTCCTATCATTTTTTGAGAATTTCCTCATTTTCTTAGGGAACAAGATGTTCCTGGCTCATGTTCCCCTGCATTTTGTATTTCTTCATTTATGTAGGTTATAATACTTTGTTAATACTTCTGAAGAAGCATAAAAATACTTTGAATTAATAATAAATTCTTGTCTGAAGTCTTAAATCTTATTTCCTAAGACATCATAAATAGTCTATGTTGATTTTAGTAATTAACCAGCAGATATCCCTAGAAAGTAGATCCTGGCAGTTATGGTGGACATTTAAGAACGGTAACTTGAGTTTGGAGTGATAGATTGATTTTCCTGTTCAGTTCATTAGGAGATCAGGACCTAAAGAAATGCAGTATGTGAGCACAAAGATAATTTTGTTGATAGAGAACAGCTGGAAAACAACAACTGCTAGGAAATCGGAATACTGTATATTTCTGAGTATCGTTTTAGGCTGAGCCTAAGGACACCAAAATGCAGATGTTTTGTGGGCAGCCATAGGTATGGGCCCAGAGTCCAAGATATCTGCACTTTATATGCAAAATTTGGGGCACAGATGAATGCTGCGCAAATACAGACAGGGCTTGTCTCATTCATAGTTCCTTTCTCCCCTCAGCCATGTCTGCTTCTCAGAGTCCCACCCCTTCCCAGAAAGGAAGTTCTGGAGGCCAGGAGATGACAACCAAACCTGTCAGTGCAGGGTCCCAGGTAAGTTGTGCACTTCTCACTGAAACACCACAGCCCTGGTTAGCAGTGTTTATAGTGTCTTATCTGAATTGTTCTGTAGCAGTACCTATTTAAGAGTTTGCCTCACATTCTTTTGCATGGTTACAGATTGATCCTTCTTCCCCCCCAGTAAATCTAATGCACTTTCTTTCTCTTCCTAGTTACTCAGATCCCTTTCTACAGTACGTTCCTATCTCTTAGTGCTCTCCTAACACTGGTAGGTCTCTCTGGCCCTGTGGAACGCTTCTAGGCCCCAAATGGAGATTTTGTTTTGTTTCAGACTTTGGAGAAGATTGAAGATACGACCGTGTCCCTTAATCGAAAGCAGTGGATTCTCGACCCATCAAAGAAGGATCTGAGTAGAGATAACAGGCCAGAGAGTTGTGGAAACACGTCCTCCCTGGGTGAGGAAGCTGTGATGATGATTACCACTGAAGGTTTTGTTGGTTTCTCTGTTAAGTGTATAGTAGCTATGAGCTTTCTCGAAGATAGAGAGGCTTCAACAGAGGGTTATAAGATTGAGACTTCTCAAGATGTAAACTGAGACCTGGGGTATTGTTCTGTTTTCCAGTTGGAAATTAACATCTCTCTAGTACTCTGGGTTCGCACATCTCGGCTAGTTCCTGTTGGATCTTTATAGGATTTTCTCACTTAAACTTACTGTGCTTCCTCCCTTCTATGACTGTGTGGTGCATTTGCCCATTTCTGTCCCACTCATGGGATCTCAGTATTTCCATGTTCCTTCCCACTTCCCGGCTTCCACTGCTTTCAGCTGGTCCCTTTCTGGCTTCACTTCCCCTTTGTAACCCCCCTTTCCAGAGCACCTCTTCCCTGGTTGGTCTACAGTATTTTTCTCTTGTCCCAGACATAGCTCTGCTTATTATGAAGGCACTTTGGAGACAGAGAAGTTTTTGTGTCTGTTTTAGCTGGTCCTGTGTGTACTTTGGGCAGTGTTCCTTTTTCCTAGCATACTCAATAGGAAACTACACTGGCTTGATGTCTATTTATTACATGTTTATTTCAGGTGGTGAGACCAGGAGTGAGAACAAGGAATTAGATGCGGAACAGGTAGTATCTGCTGGAATCCAGCCCCAAGGAGAGACAGCTGCCAGATGCAACGGGGATGTTACCGCGGACCTTGAGCATGGTGAAGAGCAGGATCTTATGGACACATCAGAGGAGCAGCAGGAAGATCCCACCCAAGAAAAACGCCATAAATGCGATGAATGTGGGAAAGCCTTTGCTCAGAGCTCAGGCCTTGTTCGCCACTGGAGGATCCACACTGGGGAGAAGCCCTATCAGTGTAATGTGTGTGGTAAAGCCTTCAGTTACAGGTCAGCCCTGCTTTCCCATCAGGATATCCACAACAAGGAAAAACGCTACCACTGTAAGGAGTGTGGTAAGGCCTTCAGCCAGAACACAGGCCTGATCTTGCACCAGAGAATCCACACTGGGGAGAAGCCATATCAGTGCAACCAGTGTGGGAAGGCATTCAGCCAGAGTGCAGGCCTTATTCTGCACCAGAGAATCCACAGTGGGGAGAGACCCTATGAATGCAATGCATGTGGGAAGGCATTCAGTCATAGCTCACACCTCATTGGACACCAGAGGATCCACACTGGGGAGAAGCCCTATGAGTGTGATGAGTGTGGGAAAACCTTCAGGCGGAGCTCACATCTTATTGGCCATCAGAGAAGCCACACAGGAGAGAAACCCTACAAGTGCAGTGAGTGTGGGAGGGCCTTCAGTCAGAAGTCAGGCCTCATTGAACACCAGAGAATCCACACTGGAGAAAGACCCTATAAATGTAAAGAATGTGGGAAGGCTTTCAATGGGAACACTGGCCTCATTCAGCATCTGAGAATCCACACAGGGGAGAAGCCCTATCAATGCAAGGAGTGTGGGAAAGCCTTTATTCAGAGGTCAAGTCTGATTCGACATCAGCGAATCCACAGTGGAGAAAAGTCTGAATCCACAGGAGTTTAGGAAAAGCCTCAGTAATAGTTTGATCATTGTGCAGCATGAAAAGGATACACTGGTAGTGAAGTCCTTCAGTAGTATTAAAAAAAAAGCAAGAGTGATGGTGACATCATGTAATGGCAGAATCTCTAGAAGGGGCAGGGTTAGAATAGCTCTTCAGTAGGTTGGGCCCAGTGCCTGGACGCAGGCAGATTAGCTTGACTTTTTCGGAGGTCTGATGGAGTGGAGCATCCAACAGCCTCACGCATCCCTTAGAAGCTTAAAATAGCACTAGAGCAAGTTGCTTTTCGTGGCTTGAGACGCTAAACTTTGAGTAGCTGTAGGTTTGAGAGGCTGCTGCTCCTAGCTCATCTGCTTCCTCCCATCTTGTGATTCCTTCTCCCATTCACTTCCCTGAAGGCGCCCTCATAGTCCTCATCTAAGAAGCTGCTGTAGTGTCCCAGGCAGCCTCTCTGTGAGTCTTACTTGTATTTAGTCTTCTAAGAGCCTAGTATTAGGGAAGTTTGTACAGACACAATTTGTGTATGCTTAAGTGTTTCATTTTTTTATTTTAATGTTCCTTCCAGTTGGTGGAAATCCATATTCCCATGCAGACCCAGAATGCTATATTTTTAACAGAATTTCAACATTTTGCTTCATTTATCACGTTACCGACTCCACTGAGTCACTGAGCATCTGTGTGTGTCCTTCACCACCCTCATCCCAGTACCTGTGTCAGCAAAGGAAGTGGACACATTAGTGATGGTTGTGGGAGTGATGCAGAGAAAGGTGAGTGGAGACTCAGCCTGGCTGTTCTTGAGCATGGACATTTGTCCTTTGTGGTGACCTCTATCCTTCCATTTCCCCACTGTGCACTGGGGTACAAAGGGTATTTTCACTGTCCTAGTTATGGCATCATGTAGGACAAAGAGTAGGCAGAATAGTAAAGAAGATATAAAAATCCATTCAAAGAACTTACATCATCCCTGTGGCCTGTTACGTACTGCTCTCTCAGGTTTCTGTTCACCAGCACAGATGTCCTGACTAGATGGGCTCTCACCTCTGGTTGCCCTGGACCCACCTCAGATGGCTATGGCTCTTCACACATAACTCTCCATCAGATCCTTGCCATTCATTTCTATGATTTAATACCTGTGTTGATGATCTATCAGCTATCTTACACCTCACAATTCCTCATTCTTCTAAATTCTGGTGCATTCCATTAGTAATCAGTATTTGTAATCTGCTAACAAGACACACTTAATAACTCTGTAGAGGTTGTAGGTCAGGTGCTAGCAAAATGGAGGAAAAGTTTGTATCTCTCAGATCAGCTGTGATCTCCAGAGGGTTCACCTATGAGCACCAGGCATTATGTATCACCTTTAAAGGATTTGAGGCTGATTTAAAATAACCTGCCAGATCTTAATGAATTCAATATAGAGTATCTTTTAGATTGGTTAGTTCTACACATTCTTAAATATTGTTTTTTACTAGTGCTACTATTCCTCCAAGTTTATGGGATATTATAAGTCCCATTTAACCATACAAGAAAACACTCTATGACTCTCAAATTCCATTTTTGGCCAGTTGATTAGCCACTTATTCACTGAACTATGAATTTAATAACTTTTGCTTTTAAAAATTAACCCTCAAATTTGAAATTATTCCATTGAATGCATTCAGAAGAACAGTTATATAGGTTCTGACAAAACCTCCAAGAGTAATAACACAGTTTCACACTGTGACTGTCCTGAAAAAGTGTAACAATCATGTTATTTTCTGATTGATGTGTTAAAAATCAATCACAAAATCTTACCTCCTTGGGGTCAATCTTTGATTATTTCTCCATGACATCTCTCTGTCCCTATGATCCACCTTGACCATTAACAACACTGTTACGAACATTTATTTCATGGAGCCGTTGGTACCTATTCCTCCCTTGTCATCCTTTTTTTTTTTTTTTTTTGTCATTTATCCTTTTTTATTTTTTATTATCCTTGTCATTTATCCTTTTTTTTTTTCTTCTGTGGTACTGGGAATTATCTCAGGGCCTTGTGCATGCTAGGCAAACACTCTACCACTGAGCTACATCCCCAGCCGCTCTCCTTTTTTTGACATATAAATTACCATTCCTAATTACCTGTGCTTGAAGTTTTCACAAACCAGAAACAAGTAAATCTAGTTGTGTCCATGTGTTTGCCCTTTGCTTCAGTTGTGCTTTACCCTCTATGGTACTGATTCTGTCTAGTCCCTGTGGTACCCGGTGTGCAGCTTTTACATAGGGTGGCTCCACCCTCAGAGGAAGGGACACGTATGCATGCATGTATAAGTACATACACACTCAAATACTTCAGATGAAAAGTTGCCTTCAGTTCCAATAAAAATCTCTTTTGCTAGAGCAACATAATAAAATATCTATATTCTAGTATCTCCTTTGCAACAGTATCCAGAGTGATGTATAACCAGATTACTTAAATCTTAGAATTATTAAACATCTGTCAGAAATTCAGAGAAAAGAAAGTAACATGATTAGGAAGATTCGTATTACACTGAAGATTAGTGTTAGTGTGAGAAAAGATTGCCAACTTAAAAGATTCAGCATATGTTTAGAAAAAGCCTGCTAGTGTAAAACAATAGAAACAGGCTCTGGATACTTTGAGGACATAGCCTGAAATCATTCATGGTCTCAAGTTCTCTAAACATTAGAAAATCATTGATTAGTCTGTATGACATTATTCTACACTCTTAACTATGAATAGCATCTATTTTATTTTGCAGGTTTTGTTTTTATGTTTTTAATCTATAGTGAACTTTTCACTAATATTTTTTGGCTTATTCTCAGCTTCTCCTTTTAGCACCTGGCATGATAAGGTGGTTCTTCCATAACTCTGCTGCCATCCAACACAGTCCTTAGAGAGGCACCATAGGTTTCAGAGATCTCTGTAAGGCAGGGGGGCATGGTAGAATATTGTGCTTTATTAGCTAGCAGTCTAGCTTTATGCTTGGTTCCAAATTCCAGGTAATGATAGCTGCCAAACCCTATATTAAGCATTTCCTGATTATGACAGATATCTTTAAGGCTGTGCCCTACCAACCTAGCTAGAGAGCCTGTGCTCCTGACCACTGCTGTGCTACCTACAATGAACACGAACTCTGGCCAGCCATTTAAAAATCACATAAACCTGTTTAGGAGAGATACTGGGTAAGATAATGTGTTACATAGTGCACATCCATTGTAATTACTCAAAAATTGGTTAAAAATAGCATTTGGGGTTTGTATCATCTTTCAATGTTGATACTTTTTATGGATACTAAGAAACTAAATTACATAAGTAAAACATGTTTAAAAGAGTAACTGGGAGGATGAAGTAGTAATAATTTATAGATTCAGAATACATTCCTCTAAACGACCTAAGGAAAAGTAGAATTGTGGAGGGAAAAAATTATCCATGTTCTAGGCTGGGCAGATGGACAGTGAGGATTACAGTAGTTAAGTTCATGTACAACATGAAACATGGAAACTCACCTTGTCACCCATTTCCAGCTGTCATTCTGTTTTTCCTCAGTCATTGCTGGTTTTTCAAACATCATCCATTTTTAACCAATTTTCTCCTTAATTTTAAAATCTCTCCTTAGTCTTAAAATTTCTCATTTTTTTACTCATCATTCTATTGAAATATCCTCAGAATCCTGCTGTATAAGGACTAAGACTTCTAAAAAGTTCCTGTCCTTCTTAATCTCATGTATATCTCCTGTTGTTGAATTTTTTCCCTAACTCTGGGAATTCTCTTCTCCTTTGGCTCATGGGATCCTTTTTCTTCAATATTTGGCTTTTCTTTTTTAGTTCTTTCTCCCACTCTTCACTGAGAAATATACCTCTGTCTTATTTTTGCTCACTACTTTTTTTATATCCTTGTTTATCCATATTGTCTATACATTTGAGTAACTTCATATTTCCCATCCTGTGTAACCTCTCATGATTTGTTGGATTTTCCAGATATGTATACAAGTTGGTACTGAAAACAAAACTCATCACTCTCTTACCCTGTCATTTTCTTTTTATTTTTGCAGTATCAGGTATGAACCCGGGGGCTTTGACACTGAGCTACCACAGCCCCTTTTTATTTTAAAATAGGGTATCATTAAATTACCTATACTGGGCTCAAACTTGTGATCCTCCTGCCTCAGACTCCCAGAGTGATACAGTATTAAAGTTATACACCACTGTACCTGGCTCCCATAAATAGCATCGTTGCTTAACTACTTTACCCTGAAAAGACTGACAACTGTTTATTTTTTAATCCCAACTTTAAAGTTATACTGTCATCTTTGACCTCACTCTCCTTGTCCACAGTCGTCTTCTCAGTCCAGTTCCTAGTGAGACTCTTGAAGCCTTTATTTTTCCCTTCTGTCTCACCTCCTTATATCCTTCCATGCAGATGCACATCACATAAGGCCCAGGTTAGTATAATTCTTCCCACTTTCCTTGCTCTCAGAATCCCTATCTTGTATAAAACTTCAAAAGTGCTGCTCCTCAAACTCCATTTAAATGATGCGTCATTTTTACTCAACATTGAGCAGGTAATTCCCTTCAGAGCTGTGCTGTTCCAGATTCTCCATTACTTTGTCCTCTGTGCCTAATCTGCCTCAGCCTCTCTAGCATGTTCACCTTGACTGATCACATGCAAACTTCCTGTAGCCTTCTGCTGTCTTACAAGGCCTTGCCTGTGTGCCTTTCCCATGGTATTCTTATGGTATTGTTTGTTTACTCTTTGGCCCCAGCTCTTGTTCATTACTCCCTTCAAAACCTATTGTCCTTTTTACCTGCTGAGTGATCCCTCTATTGAGCTTCACCTCACACTGAGACCTCCCTTACTCTTGTGCTGCCTCAGCACTTCCCTTGAGTTTGTACTGTGACCCACACACTTACTAATGTGTTGCTCTGCAATTATTTTCTAGAGGTCTGTATTGTAGTTTTACATATGTAGTTATTTCCAGAATTAAA